GCATAGCCGCTGCCGGCCACTGTTTTGAACACTTATTGTAATCACATGCCATTAAATTTGCTTTTATAACTTAACTTCATCGTTCTTTGTGTGTTTTTGCCTCATATAAGAACATAAACTTTGACGCCCTCTAGCGGTTTTGCGTTTTGTTTTCGACCATTTATTCTTTGATAGAAATTGCTTACTTGGGTGTGTACTATCACTTCCTAAAATTTTGCCCATCTTTTTAGAATCACCCTGTATATACAAAGTAAAATTAGTATATTGTATACCCATTAAAACTGCACTAATCATGTGTATTTTTAATATAGACACTACGGATAGAAATTTTTCCCGGTATCTCGAAAGGGTTAAGATAATCGCTTGATTGCGTTAAATTTTGACTATCATGAGTTGGGTACAAGCAACATCATGGTAATTAATACTAAATACAGTTAATCTCCATAAAGCAACCACGGGAAGGGCAAATAAATTAAAATTAAATTTTAAAAAATTGGAACATTTTCGAATTATTCGTTTAATTCTAATTTATTGATTGTTTACTTTTTTTCATGCCATACGTAGAATGAGTATTCAGCTGCACTGAACTAAATTCCGGATCAAATTCCGATATAAAGTACTAGCACTGTGGGTACATCAACCGTAAAATCCTTTTTAGCATAAAATCCAATTTTTGCAGTATTATTATTTTTTATATTTTTAATTTAATTATTTCAGTGGTTTTGTGGTAAATAAGTAAGTAAAAATTACGATAAACGACATTTTGTTTTGTTCCGTATTATGTTTCGGTAAAAATGAATTTTATGATAACAAGTGCCGATGCTTTTTACCGCACTTAGATTCAGAATTTTTTATAATGTAGTTTAATTAATTTTTCAAATTTTTCGGTATTTGTGACTTTTGTGGCTATCAGTTTCATGGATAAAAAAAACATTCTTTCCTTTTTTTTAAATTTTTCAGCAACTTTTAGAGATTTTTTTGGTTTAAGTGAAAAATATCTTCAAGAAAAAATGTATTAAATGTTTGAATTTTAGATTAAAAATAATACATAAAAAGGATGAGAAAAATAAAATCAGAGCGAATAAAATTTGATTAAATTTTTAAATTCAAAGGCTTTGAATTCCTTTAAAATAATTTCATTTGTTTTCAATTTCTCGGTTGCTTCCAGCAAGAACATGAAAGATAATGCATTCCAAATTTAAACTAAACAAAGTAA